TTCATCCTGGGCATGGTGCACCCCTGTGGCTGGGAGCCTTGTCAGCTGACGGGGCTCCCAGCCATATGGGAGACTTGGCTACCTGTGCAAATTAAAGTGTGATAGCCACCAGCTATGAAGTGAGTACACATTTTTGAGGTCTAACTTTATAGCTGGTCAGAGCTTTTTATGAGGTGATATCTACTTTGCACATGTAGCTAGTGTTAAGGTAATTGTACAAATAACTAATTAATTGTGCAATACCTGTAACATGTAGAGGGGGCTGGAGAGACTGCAGTCCAGGCTTATGAGCTGGAAGCAATCTCTTCCTCATTTGAACAATCTTGTTTTAATTGCATATGGCACTTCTTTCCCCACAAAATACTTTACAAATGGTGGGTCATTCTTTCCTCATTCCTATCCCTCGCATCCCCCCTGAAATGAGGATAGCTTTTGCCCCAATTCAAAGACTATGCACAGAATTTGCTGCAACCACCTAGTCTACTGTTTCCAGCACAAGGCAACACTATACTCTATCCTACAGGGTAATTAAGGATGGGAAGAGAATATACTTCTATTTTTTTGAAAATGAAGAAAGAATTTAGGGAGTCAGATTAACTATTTGAGTTGAGGTTTGGCCAGGAAGCTGGAAATTAATGCTGGCTAGTCCTGCATTAAAGTGGATTGCAGTGTAACCCAAGCAGCATGTGTAAGGGTGGAAAGGGGGTGGGAGGTGGAATTAGGAGAGAAGAAATCCTGCATGGCTCCCATTGTAGGAGGCCACACAGTCATGGGTACTTAAAAGGAATCTAGGGAGTGTCCTCAACCCTGATGAGTGGGAGGGTTTCCCATTTAGAGGGAAAGGGGAGGAGAGGGCTGTATGGAAAAGTTTGACTGTTCCTACCTTATGTCTGATATGGGCAAGAGGGGAGGCATACATGCTCTTCATGAATAGTGAGAATAGGCATGAAAAGTCATGCCTACTTTTGCTCTTCTCTCTGGCCCAGGAAATATTGACTACTCTACACAATGGAATAATTTCTACAGAAGGGGTGGAGAATATTCCTCTTCTCAACCCAGAGCAACATACAGTATGGTGATTAGGACAGTCTCTGGGGTGGCGGGAGCTGATGGTTTTAACCCCCTTAATTAGAGAAGGGAACTGAACTTGGGTCTCACATCCTAGAGAAGTGCTCTAATAAACTGGCTACTGTAAAAAAATTGAGGGTGGAAGAAAGGGAACAGCTCTTGCATCAGAAGAAAGAAGTGATGCTTCCTTGGTTTTGAGAGGAACTCCAGATAAAGCATAGTCTCTCTTCACTCTAAAGTAAGGTAGCTACGCCTGAGAGAGACACTGTGATTGCATTTCCTACCGGTTATGTTTGGCTGTTCCATACCCAATATCCTGCGTGCTATGAATTTTATCTGGAGGTGCCTAGCTCTCCCCATACGTTACAAAGGGAAGTTTAAGTGCCTAACTCAGATCACTAGATTGCACTCTGGGAGACAGGCATCTAACCATTAAGCACTGCATCACTGATCATTTCAACCCATCCATTCCTTTGTGCCTCTATTCTGGAGGTTACATAGAATCAGCCCCTGATTAGTGAAGAGTGTATTGCTTTTAAATACCACTTTTATTATTCTGTATGAGGGGAGCACTCAGGGAGAATACTGAACTACATTCTCTAGAATGTGATTGTGAGATAAGTCCTTTTTATTTGCAACATCTAAATCATATGTTCAATTGCTGTGTGGACCCTAAAACATAAAAGTGCTATTTTGCATGCTATCAATACACAAATGAAAGAAAAATTATAAAGATGTTACTGACACTAAGCATGAAAAATATAGCCTCAGGCTGCCAAGCCTTTTATCTATATACATCTGCAAATGAATTCCAGAGCCACAATCAAATTCATTAGAAACACAGAGATGATTAATGCGGGGTAGCCAATCCTATGCTGGTGCTGGAGTGCTTGTTAATGAGCTTCATGGACACTAGATGGAGCCACAGTCTTGTTTTTTAATCTTGACACTCTCTCTCCTAGGACTAAATCATAGAATTTCTCTTTGCCTTGTATGGTCTGCTTAGAAAAAGTACATGAAGGAGGAAGAAGGAGTATTAGCTTTAAGTGATTAACAGGGCTGGCTCCAGGGAGTGTAGTGGTGCAGTTGCACCCCCCTTCAACAGTGCAGCTCACCCCCTGGAGACTCCAGCTCCCTGGGGCTGCAGACACCTGGGTTCCCTGCGGGATCCGAAGCCTGGCTGGAGCCGTGGGCTGGTGGGGAACACCCAGGGAGACCAAGAAGAGAGCAGGGGAGCAAGAGGGGCCTGTCCACTACTGCCACTGATTGGAGGCTGGGGAAGCCCCAGGCCACTCATGTCCCACTCCTGTGAGTAATTGTGGGAAGCAGGCTCCCCACAGGGTGTCAGGCTCAGTGGTAACAGCAGTGGATGGGTCCCTACTCCCTGTCCCCTTCCCCAGGTTTCCCCTGCCAGCCTGGAAGCTGCCAGGAGGGTGCCAGACTGGGCTGGGGACAGTGGCAGCTTGCTCCTTTCCAGTGCTCTTCTGGGTGGGACATATGTGGGGACTGGGCAGGAAGCAGTTGCTGGACACAGGGACCTGTGCATTGCTGATGCTGTCCATGGCTGAGCCCAGCATGCCATGCAGCCGCTCACTAAAGCACCTGGCTGGAGAAGGGCAGGGGGCTTCTGCTCCCTGGTCAGCCGGGGCCAAGTTCCTGCTTTCTACATCCAGGTGCAAACCCTGATGGAGTGGGGGGGGAGGAAATGGGAGGGGATGAGAGGTACTGCTGTGCACCAGAGGGGAGGGGTTGCTGAGAACAGGGGTGGGGAGGGAGTGATACCTGCTTTGCGGCCTCAAAAGAGTCCCCGGCAGCTGCTGCCGTGATGCAGTCTTCCCATAGGGGGAGGTGGGGGGCTGCAGCCACTTGTGCAGGCATTAGTCACATCTTCTGCACCCCCCCTTTTTCAAATTCCTCAACCTGCTCATGGATCTGGAAGCAAAGCAAGCTTTGGAAATTAAATTTGCACCAGGAGTGGGGCACCAGGGAGAGAAAAAGATATTGTTAGCTAAGGGTTCTCATTGTGGGTGCTGAGCTGCAGTCTTGGAGCAGAGCTAGCCACAAACTAGTGGTATACTACCCATGCTGTAGACCAGCCTGCTACACATGAGTAATGAAAAGGAAGATGGTGCTTGATTAATAATGTCAGATCCAGTGATTTGCATAAATTTGCTAAAATATACCCTTCTCTTCACCCCTTTCTCCTTTTTTTGTCTGAGAGCTTATAGGTAGTTGCCTATAAAGACACATCATCGCCTAACTGCTTCCCATACAAGCCAACTGCTTCCCATAAAGAGAAACAACTACTTTGTGGACTGCTACCCAAAACTTCAGCCTAGTGCCTACCACAAAAATACAGCAGTCAGAGCCTGTCCTCTAAAAATGTGACACTTGCCCAGAAGAGGGCAGGATTTGTTCTATGCATTTGTTCTACAGTACAACACAATACCACAGCTTCTATTTTGTAGGCTATGAATTTAAAAGTTTTAAAGCACCCAAGCAGAAACTACATGCCATCAGTTGACTGCAAGGCTTGGGTTCCCAAATAGCTCTAGCCCTTCTAAACATTATATTTTGTATGTATAAAATGAAAAGCAGAACATACTTTATAAAGTATTCAGATGCAAAAAAACCCACACAAATAACATTTCCCCCATGGAATGGTAACTTGAATTGCAATTAAAGCAGCAGAGGCCATGTCAAATGAGCATATTATAAATGCCTGCCAAAGCAGGGTGTTCTGCATTCACTGGGGCCAGAATGTCAGATACAATTTAGGAGGTAAATTGAGTAGCCAAGATTACAGTGCGATATTTATGCTCAGATTTTCAAAAAAGCTCAGCATACCGAGTGCAGAAGCTCTAGTAAATCTGATCCCACATGTAAATGAGTGCCTCTGAAATATTCACTGGCCTTTATTTTGGTGTTTTAGGTCTTTAGATGCACAGAGGCTGGTCATTTTCACAATCCATGGGATCATGTTATTAGGTTTGTGCATTACAGTTTGCATATTATTTGTTTTGTATGTTGTGGAAACTCTGCCAAACACAACCACAATAGTGTGGTGATCAAAAGATGCTGCTAGAATGAATTTGGAAAGACCACAGTCCTCTCTGGGGGCCAAGACAGGAGTGAGGTAGGTAAGCCTCCCCAGCTAGGCATCTCTACTATGCTTGCTACGATTTTTGTGCCACGTGGAGTGTAGACAAATATAATCTTGGGGTATTTGAAACCCTTTGTGGTATTATGTTGGATTCCCTCCTCCTCCCCTTGGCCCTCTGTGCTTTAACCTGATGTTGGAAACACTGGACCTTATACGCAAAGTCCTGAAATTTTGCATTAGTGTAATTTTCAGATCATTCTATTCTCTCCCAAATGCCACCCAACAGAGAAGAAAAGACCAACATATATTTCTAGCTGGCAGCGGTGCGAAAAATACACACAACTAGGATTGTAGGGGTCCATATGGAAAGTAGAGGGCAGAGTAAAGTTGACAGGACGGAAGTTGCAAAATATACCCACTTTTTCCAGAAATAAAGAAGTTTGTTTCTCAACAGCAACCAGGAATGTAAGACAGCTGACCTGGTTGGCTGGGGTGATAGGAAAATATTAGGCAGGGGCTAAATCAGTAGGACTGCTGTATACCTGTATGGCACCTCTCAGGGTTTACTATTGTACTGAACCAACCAATGCGAAGTGCCATCCTGAACAAAGCATATCTAACGTCACAAACAATTGATATAAAAGGTCAATGAACAAAATATATAGTAGTGAATCTGCAGCCACTAGACACTGAACTTGAACTACCGCTTCAAATAAAAACATGACATGGTTGCTTCCAAATAGCCTGTGTTACGTGTTCCCCAAAACACGTTAGACAAACCGGAAGAACAGGTAACTGGCCAGTGAAAATGGACAGGAGTGATACTTACAGATAAAATTTGATCTCCTCTCTGTAGCTCTCCGCTGAGATCAGCAGGCCCACCTGCTAAGATGAAAGATACGAAAATGCCTTCCCCATCTTCTCCTCCTACAATGTTAAAACCAAGTCCTGTGGAGCCTTTGTGCAGGATGATTTTTCGAGGCTCTCTGTATAGAAACAAAACAATATTGCTTATCCATTCAAAAGCACCATACAGCATATGCACTACTCAGCATCTCTGTCACATTACTTTTTCTTCAACCTACAATGGCATGCTGCTACCTAAGAAAACCATTTAGCAAATGAGCAAGGTCTATTCACTGGGGAATGGGCGTACAGTATAACCTCATAAATCCAGCATGCTCAGGATCGAGCACCTGCTGGAAATTTGAAAATGCTGGATTTTTGAAACTGGAGCAGAGGTCAGTTGTGGAGCAGGGGGGTGGGGAGAGGAGGGGTAGTGGCAGCTGGTACCCCACCAGCGGCCGCACACAGAGCAGCAGCACAGGGTGGTGGATGGCGGTGGCAGTTGCCGCGTGCAAGCTTCCTCCTCCACTGATCCGGGACTGGCTGCTGCTACTCCCCGAAGCAGTGTATTTTTTAAAAGTGCTGGATTTTTGAGCATTCCGGATTTTTGATATCCGAATTTATGAGGTTATACTGTAGTAGGAATTAACTCGGGTTCTATTTTTTAATATCTTCTCAAGAAAGCAACTGAGGGCCTTTGCCTGCTAATTCACTCCACTGTAATGGCTTTTACTACCTTAAATGCAAGATTTCTTTGATAATTCATTTCAAGACATTTCACAAATTCATTTATTATTTCTACCAATGCTATATGTAGCATGCAAAAATCATCTATGTGTATATGATGCTTTTTACCTTCTGTGCTCTGTTTGTATTATAATGCTGAAAAGCAAAGTGGAACTTGCCTAGCTCCGTCCAACTTGGAACAAGTGACATGAACATGGCTTGCAATGCACTTAGTTGCAGAATTAAGAGCAAGCTACTCTGCTGCTAGCTGTGGGCAGCTGAGTAGCTCATGAGTTCAAAGAGCTACACATCTCTTCAACTGGAGCCCATCAGTGGGCCCATGCAATAGTTTAGGTAAGCATTGCCCTTTGAAATAAAAGCTTCAGCGAACAGATGGAGCACCTCAGTGATTCAGCACAGCTGTTTGTTGTGGATACATATTACCCATTAAGATTCTGTTAATCCATATTTCCTAGGGAGGTTAAGAATGTAAACCTGTGAAGAATCCAGGTTTTTACTGTATAACCAAGCTGAAAGCCAAGTGATCTATATGAAATTGCAGCTTGACCTTGTAAAGAACACACATTTGTAGGGTCACCTAAGTGCTTTTCCCCTCAAGGGGGTTAAGGGTATTTTTATGGTTTTCACAAGTTGCTCAAAATGATGCCATCAAGATACGGAACTAAAACTCATTCTTCTATAGCATTTTTTATCAGTAGATCTCAAAGTACTGTACAAAGGTATCAAGTATCATTAGGCTATACTACAGATGAGATAACCAAAGCAAAGAGAGGGGAAATGATTTCCTAAGGTCATGTAGCAGGCCAGCAGCAGGGTGGAAAAAGAAACCAAGTCTCCTGAACCCAGGGATAGATCTGAAGCGGGCAGGGGGTGGGGCAATGGCTTATCCACACCCCACCTTTTTGAACACAGAGCAGGAAGAGCAGCTGGGGACTTATTTTAAGTCCCCAAAGAAGATAAAGAATTTCCACTTCCTTTCCCCTCAGTGCTTAGAGCCATGTCATCTCCCCTCCCCTTTCAATTCCCTTCTCCCACGTCCCCACCTCCTCCACCTGTCACCACCACTGTGCCCACTATCCTGTCCCTCTGCAGCCAGGCTGGCCAGGGCCTAGGCTCTGCTCAGGACAGCAGCAGTGACAGTGGGCAAGTGGGTGAACCTTCCCTATCTGGTCTCCCAGATGTTCCCTGCAAACACAGGAGCAGGCACAAGGAAGGGAACCCATCTGCCTACTGCCACTCTCCCAAGCTGAGCCCAGCTAGAACAGCTCTGAAGCTCCTCTTACTCTCAAGACAGTGGGGACAGTGGCAGTGGTAGGTGGAGGTGAAAGAGGACAGGAGGGGATGTGCCTCTAAGGAGGGAAGAGAAAGTGGGAAATTCTTACTTGCTTGGGAGACTTTAAAAAGTCCCTGACTGTGGCTCCCATGGCATGGTCTGCAGCCCCAGTGTGGAGAGAGGGTGTGGGGCTGGAAGTGAAGGGTTGTCACCACTACAGCACCAGTCACTGTTCCTGCACCCCCACTTCATCAGATCCTGAATCCTCTCCTGGGTCCTATTGTCATGGACACCCAGAAATTTAGAAGGTAACTGCTTAAGGATATGGCCATCAGATTCAAATCTATTCCTCGTGCTAGCTAGAATAACATAGTTATTTCCAGAATAAGTCAGCATCACATAAAAATTACTAGTTTAGAATATGTTCCTAACCTTAAGCCACTCATATGTTTGATTGTAAGTATATGTGGAATACTTTGCAAAGCATTATTTTACTCTTATCATTTGTCAAGGCATTAAAGATGCATTAGTAGCAAAACTCTCAATTTTAAAAAATCCACCAGTCACAATCACTGTCAATAAACAGCCTGTGACCTTGCCTGTATGGGGGACCGCTGTTTCCATACGGAGTATAGGGTGCTCTTTATTTTCATTGACATTTGTTTGGAGCTGAGAACACTGATCACTATACACACAGCTTAGTAATTTGCCAAATTTAGCACAGTGTGTTAATAAATCCATATTTACTAGTATTATAAAAATCCCACCCCTTTCATCTTTGTTTGGAAAATAAAGTCAGACCTTTCAGCCAGTTTCTTTTAATATTACCTACCATCAATGCAGTGTGTCCCCCTTAAGGGAAGAAAACATATTTTTATAATTGTTTCAGGTTCCTGGGGCCTCGGAACAACATGGAATAGATTTTGCTTCATCGCACGGGCCACATTTTATTATGGAGACTTTCCAATGGATTCCTTTCCCTCCCATCTGTGATATATGTCATTTGAGGCAAATTGCTATTAGTGCAGTAAGTGTTTTGCTATTTTTAACATGTTATTAATTTGGGATAAAGTTTTCAATAGTGTGTAACAATTTAGGAGTCTGTCCCACTAAATATAGGGATTTAGAGTGATACTTCCAAAAGCAACTTAAGTAACATTAGCACCTAATTCATATAGCCTTTAAATATGACTTAGGCTTCTATAAGCCCCAGTCACTTCTGAAAATGGGACTCCTTGTTTGAAAAATGTATACATATGCTGCTACCCTAGGCAGGGGTGAGTGTTTCAGCCTCTCATGTATGACTCAATTTGGGATTCATCATACAGATATTCCCTATGCCTAGGACCCTTGAAGGTCTTGATCTCAGCACATGCTTAACACACACCAACCTTACTGATTTCTATATAAAATACAGCAGCCAAGGCCCCATGGATTCAGAAGCAGTGACTGTAATAGGGGTTGGAGCCCACCTTTTGCCCAGTAGCTTAGTAGTTCAATTCCTTGTCCCGGGAGTGTCAGAGTGAGTTATCCTGAGGGTTCTTACCCATGTCTCCATCTCCCAGGAGTTGGCCTTGACCACCACTCTTCATTTCAATTAAAATGCACCATCAGCCCAGGGAACAGTGACTCAGAGGTGCTTCCTGTCTGGGGATCTACTGCACTAGCCCTGTGATGAGGGCATTCACCTCAGAGAGCAGACACCTCTCTTGCATGGTGTAAACGTTACGGTCATGGCTGCTGGAGTGGATACTATCGCCCAGTATTAGGCACCATGGTTCCCTAAGGAATCGATGAGCAGAGTTGATCCTTGCAGAACAGTTGTTGAGTGGGGAACCACATAGTCAAACTGATTTAAAAATGCCCCTCTCCAGGGCTCTCTCCAGCTGGGATGCAGAACATTGTCCTTCCTCGGACAGTCATATACCCAAGCCCATTTGTTCAAGAATTGAGGATGAGGTCAATCCTTTGGTTCAAAACAAAGGCAGCAGTCGAAGGAGATAGTGGTGTGGCTGCCATAACCCTTTTATCCAATATCTCCGTGGCTAGAGCACACATGCCAGAGACAGGAGACCTGCGTTCAGTACCCACTTCTATCTAAGACGCTTGAAACCTACCTCTCCTTTGTCCCAGAAAAGTACCCTAACAAGCAGGCTAGACACTGTTCTTGGCAGGAAGCAGTCGCTCCATTGTCCTGTTGAAGTTGCTCCACTTTTCATGGAATAATTAAATAGAAACTGGACAAAAACAAGAAAGCAGGCACATGGATGACTTTCTAGCCTAGAGGTTAGAGCATTCACCTGGGAGGTGCCCTACTAAATCTAGCCCTTTAAGAGACTCAGGCAGGGGATGGCCTACTTTACAAATCCCAAAAGAGATCAGGTGTGAGACAGGCACCGGCTTGATGCCAAGTCTGGAGGAGCTCCTGAGCATGCCCAGGAGCACAACTTCAGGCACCTGGGGAGCTTTAATGACAAAAACAGAAGCTGCCTGTGGAGTTCAGACACCTCCAGAATTAGGCAAGAGCTGAGAAAATGTTGTGAGAATCATAATTTTGGTCCTTAAGTGCCTGAAGTGGGAGTTAGGTCAGACTTTGGGGCCTATATTCTTTTGGAGAGCTAGTTAGCTCTAAAATGTTCTGCAGATCTTACTACCTACTTTTGCTTTTGCCTATCTATGATAAGTTTCCTCTCAGCTGAAAATACCGTGTCATCAGCCAATTCTTCCCAGGTGGTCCAGAATTTGAACCCTTTAATCCACAGAGGACTAAAGACCCATCAATCAGATAATCTACCTCTGCTTTCCTTTCGCACTCAGTGTGATCTACGAGAGAATGCATTTCCCAAGCCTGATTGGAGAAACTGGAAAGGACAAATAAAGGTTTATTGATTGTCAGAAATTTTGAAGCGAATAAAAAGTGAAAATCCTAAAAGGATTCTCTTTCAGTGAAAGCAACAGTTGCCTTCTGAAATGGGAGATGTAACTGATGCCTGTATATCATATTATTAAACCTAGCATTCTTTAAATGTGTCTTTTGTGATGGAGAAAGGTGCTGGAATAACCTCCTTGGAAACAGATGTCATCTCTGTACCACCCAAGAGGTACAACACATGCAAATGA